AAACGAAGCTTATGTGAAATATAGCTGCAAGAAGTTGGGTCTTAACCAGCACAAATTGACATTGCTAAAGCAAGGGCATGCACATAAACCACAATCTTATTGTCCATTTTGCCTTAATTTGCATACTAGGAACAGTCACTTTAATTCCCTGTACTCGGTGCATTTCGGTATTGCTGCTATCTGCTCCCTGGTACGTTTATCAATACCATCGCTGGGCAAGCTATCATATATCAGTTTGTTATAATTGATGCTTTGATTTAATTATTCAAATCATGAATACAGATGCATATACATACTGAGTTTGTCTACAAAAGCACAGATATCATACTACGTACATACATATATACACATAACTAACTAAACTATTTAAAATACACAAAACACCTACACTATCATGATATAGTTGACCATTCAGTCATCTTGGTCTGGTAATACGGCGCCAGGTTCCCCATTTTGAACTGAAAACAAACTTTTCAGCTCTTTTCCATATCTGCCTCTTTCTGTTAGCACTATAACCTTCTGGACACTTTCTATCAGCTAAATACATTATACACAGCTGCCTTCTCCACAAGATCATCCTCTTAATTCTTTCCTGGGTTCTTTACTCGGTTCTTGACACAGTCTGTCATCCTTCTTCGATCTGAAATCTTCTTCATGTACTTTGAACGTATAATAAAGGGTCCCACATGCTTTGTACGTGTATTCCATAGATAAATAATTAAGGAACAAAGTCGAATACAAAGATTTACAGTTCCTTTACACTTTTCTTTTGGTAGGACAAAAAATTGCTGACGCGGACATAAAATATCACGTGATATTTCTATCCTAGGATAAATTTTCACAGGGGACAATTTTTTTTGTGACAGGCCTGGGCCCTACCATTAAATTGGAGTTATAACTATATTCATTGCAATTATCACCCAAAAGATTATATTCATTGACCTTACAATTACAAAAGGGGGTGGCTGATAGCCACTACATAACTTGGTCCCTTTTTATAGCCATACACAATGATAATTTTGCTCAGCTTGCAGGAAAATACCTCCATTTTGTTATGTAAAAGGGGTGTGGTCAAAATTGCGGCACATTTCACATGCCATTTTTTGCCCTATCATCGCCCAAGGTCTAGCTATGCCCCTGATGTTAGGAGTCCCCAAGGTTGGTTTAAGGTTTAGTTTTTTTATTGTAGAGCATCCCCTAGATTTTAGAAGCCCCTCATTAGCTTAGAAGTCCATGATAAAAACTAAGTTCAATTTTGCATCAATGCACATGTTGTTTTACGGAGAAAAACGGACTGCCTAACGTATAGTTCTGCCAGACAAATCCTGTTACCAGACTATAGCCACTGCATTAATAATAATGATGGTAATATTAATAATAACTAGGTAAATATTAGTCTCGTGCCCCGCCCCTTCGCTTTTGGAGGAAGGGTCTGGAGACACTCAAGGCTTTTTTGTTGCATGCTGGAATGTAATTAGTGCAGCTGATCATATGACCGGATGCATCCACGTGTTAATTTCACGTGATAGACACACCCTAAGAACATGGCTACCAGAAGTATGAAGAAAGAATCAAAGCTAAAACTCATTTCAAATCAGTTTTTATCATCAATTTGTTTTGTTTTTCTTCATTCATCCTCTACTTATTAAATGCATTTTGCTATCAGATCAAAACAGCATGTTTAATAATGCAAAATTGACTAAAATTGTATAATAATATAATGATAGTAATAAGAATGCTACAAAGGCCATGGCTGTTAGAGACATCATTTGCAGATGAGGTAGAAGTATTTCTTCATCTTCCATAAAAGTATGTACCCCTATAGCACTACAGATAATTACTATTAGACAACAATCATAAGTTAAGTGAACTGACCATTTCTTAACTCATTGCTCATCAATAGGTAAGCTCACTAGCTTTAGTCATTGACCAGAGGACCATGGAAGAGTTTTTTTGTTCCAGAACTTATTTTCAAGAAGACATAATGCAGTACAGAGCCACAGTAGTGATTGACACTTTGTTTGCCACTAAATCCTGTCAGCAGGCACAAAAAACTATCCTAATCATCAATAACAGACTTTGTGATGCTCATTTTTGTTCCTCCTTTACTTCTCTTTGAACCTCAAATCCTGTAACAACTCATGAAGCTCCTACAAATTCTACTTATCTTTTAGAGGCCATTTTATTAAAATTATATCATGTGATATTAACTAG